AAGCTAGTGTAAAAGTATATTTTATTTATTATATTTTATATTTATTACTCTTTTATATATTAATAGCTAGTAACGTAAAAGCCTTTATAAATATCTAACTAGCTAAATAGCTTTTACACTTTAATAGTATAATAATAACAAAGTTATAGTTATATAATAAGTTTAGTAGATAATAATATTAATAGTGTTATATAGTAGCTTTATATAAATATTAGCTTTGTAGCTATAACGTACGTAATCTAATAATAATATTATTAGCTAATAAGATAAAAGCTCTAACCTAACTACTTTATTATTAATATTATAACGCTATTAACTCTATAATAATTTAAGTTATAGCTTTATATATACAATTATTGCAAAAGCACTTTAAATATTAATATAATATTCTATGCATATTAAACCTTAGCATTATTTCGCAACCTAATTATTAGACCCTTCTAGCGCGCTACGGGCGTTCCTCTAATAAATAGAGTGCGCCTTAAACCTAAACACCGAAGTAAAACCACTACTTTGCCCGCCTTGAGCCTCGTTCTGTCAGCATGGTGCTTACCGGTCGTTCTTTCGGAAAGTGAGTTTCTTGGTGGCGCGCACAAGGCTGATGACGTCCACGGGTGCGAAGACGCTGCAGCCTCGGGATGTGCGAGAATCTGCGCCTGCCAGATGGCAGCTTCAAGGACCAGTACGAACCAGTACCAAAGCGCAGTTTGCGTTGTAGGCACAGTCTACTTTCGGTGCTGTGCGAAGGTTACTGGAGGAACTGTTGTTGAACGATGGAGGGCTGACATCGGAGACGGCGGTATGTAAGATTACCTGGACATCCTGGATTAAGGCTTGAGGCTTGGGCGACAAACCAAGCAGACTAAGTCTCTCGACATAAGAGGATAGAACTGCCTTTCTAAGGGCTCTTTTCCTTAAGTTCTTCTTCATCCGCTCGCTTCAAGAATTTGTCATCTCTCTATTTCGCCATACTCGCCCACCAACAGTCCTTACCATACCTCAGCCTCACCATCGGTTTCCAACGATGAAAAACCTATTGGTAGCGACCGTATTGACGGCCGCGACTGCTGCTACAGCCCAGAACGCCCCATTCGTGCAATGCCTCCAAACGGCCCTCAGCAACGATACCAGCACTTGGATGCTGCCGAACGACCCAATGTTCTTGCAGGGAGATGTACACCCCTACAATCTCAACTACAACGTCGTTCCGGCCGCGATTTCATTCCCGAAGACTCAGGAGCAAGTATCGGAAGTCGTGAAGTGTGCGAACACCGCAGGAGTTGCAGTACAGGCGCGCAGCGGGGGTCATAGCTACGCGAACTATGGTAAGCCTGAACCCAGAAGGACGAGTTGTGATTAAGAACTTGCTAACACGAACGTCGTATATAGCACTGGGAGGGTTCAATGGCTCATTGGTGGTTGACATGAAGAACATGGCATCTTTCTCGTATAACGAGGGTGACCACACGGTAACTTTTGGTCCGGTAAGTGACTTCTTGACACTACACCTGTAACGAACACCCTTTGTTGCACATGCGCTGACGTGCGCATCTTTCACAGGGAAACCTTCTCGGCAACATCTCCGAGAAGCTTCTACCTCTCAGGCGAGTCATGGCATACGGCGAAGTAGCCGTCATCGGCACGGGTGGTCACTTGACCATTGGAGGTCTCGGAACGCTCAGTCGCCAGCTGGGCGTCGGAGCCGATCAAATCGTGTCAGCGCAATGTGTGCTTGCAAACGGCACCGCCGTGACAGCTAGTGCAACCACGAACCCCGACTTGTTCTTCGCCATCCGAGGCGCCGGTTTCTCTTTCGCTATCGTTACGGAGTTCACCATGAAGACTGCACCCGCGCCGACCGAGATCACCAAGTACGCGTACACCATCGCGGCCGACGACGCAAATGCCTTCGCAAGCACATTCCAAAAATGGCAAAAGTTTGGCACGCAGAAGAACCTCGACCGCCGGTTTTCCAGCACTATGACTCTCAGCCAGGGCTCGATGGTCATCAACGGCAACTTCTACGGGCCCAAGTCCGACTTCGATAAGCTGAACGCGCAGTCCATTCTTCCTGCTAATACCTCAACCGTCGTTGTGGACATCACCGTTGGCGAGCTTCCATTCCCGGGACTCGGCGACCCAGACCTGACAGCCAGCGGCAGCTTCCCCATCCCGTTCTATGCCAAGAGTGTGAAGACGCCAAGCCACAAACTGCTGTCGGACGAAGCCATCAAATCCATGTTCTCCTACATCAATGGCACTGAGAAGGGAGCGCCCGTGTGGCTCGTCATCTGGGATCTCGAAGGCGGCGCCATCGCCGATGTACCGCAGACCGCTACCGCATACTGGCACCGTGACGCCGCCTACTTCATGCAGAGTTATGTCGTCAATCTTGGAGGGCCCGTCACCGACGCGTCCAAGACGTTCTTGTCTGGCCTTAGCAGCTTAGTGCAGAAGGAGACGTGCGATGATGGCGCGTACCCAGGCTACGTCGATCCTGAGCTTTCGGACCCTCAGCAGGCCTACTGGGGCGGCAATGTGCAACGTCTACAGCAGATTAAGGCGGCGGTCGATCCTGATAATGTCTTCCGTAATCCCCAGAGTGTGCCGACTCAACATCAGGCTCAGCAGCGTCGTCAGGTCTTTGTAGGGTCAGCGGTACAGTCCTACGCAGCGCAGTTTGGTCTGTTGGTTTCTTGCATTCCATTGGCGGCAATCTTGTATATTTGATCGTACATAGCCTGGAAAGTTGGGTGGAAGACCTCGAATCTTGTAGTAGGCATGTTCTAGTAGTAATGCAATGCAGAGTTGATAAATTAACCTCACGTGCTGTAACCTCTGATCTATGCGGTTGGATCATAATTGACGTTGACGTGAAGTTGCATGCAGCGATTTGTTCTGCCACCGTGACATGGTGAAGGAAGACGATCGGCTCGGTGCTTGGAAGGCACGTTCTAACAGCGCCGCGCCACAACGGACCGTCGCAATCGTTCCCAACGACTCGAACAACGCCCCAATGTGACAACCGATGCCACCATTGCGATTAAAATTGCGCTCCTATCACCCACTCCGATCAATGCTGCAACGCGTCTTTGCGCGTTGTCCCGATCACGACAACTATGAGCGCAAGCAGCTGGCCGATGTCGCCGCTGCCGGCCACCGGAATTGACGCGATCAAACAAAACGCAGGTAGCGGCTGAGATGATAGGCGTTCATGAGGATGCGCACAAGCTCACTAGACTGCACGATGTACGCGAGCCTCTCTTATTGCGCCTGGCGCTGTCGCGGAAAGAATAGGCGCAGTTTGGAGTGCTGGCAACGGCTGTTTGCGACTCCATAGAGAGCAAGCCTTTTCGCGGCAAAACAGTATACTTGCGACTGCGAATGCAGCCAAGAGTGGTGTATGCTCTACCACTTTGGCTCTAGGCGCGTCTTCCTGATCGCGGGTGCCATCTGGGCGTAGACCTTCCTCTCGGCGATCTTGCTGCGGTGGCTTGACGTCAAAAGAGCTACAACGGCCAGCGAGCAGCGAAAACATTTCGATGTCATGTCCGGATCATTACCTACACCTAAAGTCATCGGAGGCGAGTGCAGGGTTCTCCTCAGGGTACCTGTTAACCTTCGCACAGCTCGCGCGTGGCAAGTCTTCTGGATCTTTGGCGCCGTCGTTTGCGTCAGCTCCCTCCTCGGTACATACGCGATTCTTTCCAACGAGCTAGCCATTTGCTCCCGGATCTGGATTGGTTTCCAGGTAGTTCGGCTCTCGCATCGATTAATCTTCTTCTACTCCGCTTAGCAGGTAGACGACGTTAAACACATCATTACATCGAACATCACGGAAGAGAACAAGCCACTGGGATTGAATTTGCGGCTACTGAGACTAGCCGTTGGTGTATCGAAGCATCAGATTCTGAATCACTCCCGCGGCGTGCTTAGCTATGCGAACGACGCGCAAGATTCCATGACCATCAGGAGGCTCTTGAGAGACGTCAATTTGGGGTACACCGACTATCTCGAGCTCTCAACGCGCGCAGATCCAGGAACGGAGCTGGACGTCATCGCGGTTGCCGTCGTTGGCGACACGTTACTCTCAAGTGTCGCATGGCTCATGGGCTCGCCTCTGTCCGGGATGGACCTTTACGATTCGTGTATCTTGGCAGTTCGTATCTCCGGCGTGATACAACTCATACCGTCGTGCCGCGTGCTCTCCGGTCGCATCGCCGACGAACAAATCCCGGACCCTGAGATGACGCTGCCTTCCAACTTCCGACCCAAAAGCACAGCGGACGAGGGTCACAACATTAGCTGGCGGTACTGGATGCCATGCGACGGGAAGAAGTGGTTGTGTTACAGCACGCCGTGGGCAACCACAACGAAGGCCGACTTTGGTATCACCTGTACGAAGAAGATGACAGTCACCATAGGAGATGGAATCACCAAAGAGCTCTTGTCCGGGACGTTGCAGATCAGTATGAGTGACTTGCAGGCCGTTAAGAATGCTCTCGCGCAGTCTGCGAGGGCAGCTACAATGCAGCGAAATATGTTGAGAGAAGATTTTACACGATTCGAGAAGAGAGCAAAATCGTAGCACGATAAAAGCAACGTCAATGCGGCCACAACCCTTGCTCCGAACCCGACCGAGGCCGACCGAGCATCATCCAGGCTGTACCCTACGACGGAAACTAGAGAAGGTTCCCCGTACGATAACTGCATAGAACGAGATACGAGATACGGTGGTTTGTGGGGAAGTCCCCGTGCGGGGTACCCGGCTGCCCAGAGAACCCTTAGTTTCAAGGACGCTCCGACTGAACTGGCCAATGGTGAGCAAATATCTGCCGAAACTAGATCGCGTCGGTTACATTTGTACCGAGAGTCACAATTTCATCGGTTATTCCTTCTCCACCACCTTCCGACCATTAGTTGCTGTTGTACGGACGACCGCTGGTTATAATCATGGCCCGACCGCATTGCCAACGAAAGCCTTGTCAAGATCACCTCGCATGAAAGCAGCGATGAATCTTCTTCAGCGTCTTGCGATCATCACAATTCTTGTCAACTCATTGACGACTGCGTAAGCCTCTAGAAATACACACAAAAGACCGTCCACTCACAATAATAGCTTTGTGGATTATGGCTCAATTGCACCTCAATCACACCTACAGCAATCTGCGCCCTCATCATCGGGCTTGAAGCCGTGGACGAATGAGACCCTGATCCTATCGCCAGATAGCCCACTCGTTACACTCGACTACGGCACTGAGGTAGCCGGCTTCCCGTTCTTCCACGTTTCAGCAATCTTTGGAACGGTGCAGATCGAAGTAAAGTACAGCGAAGAATACCGTGGCGTGGAAGAGCCCTTCTCGGACGGGCCTTGGACATTCTCGAATGGACTATCCAACTCTTTCCGAGTAGAAACTTTCAACGTCACCGAAACGGGATACATCGAGAGCTTCTTCGTTCAAGGAGGCCAGCGATGGCAGACCACACGGTTAATTACGAATGGCTCCGTCACTATAGATCGTCTAGGATTTCGCGCGACAAGCTCTAACTTAGACGCTCAAATGCTACCAGGCCGCTTACAGACATCCGATAAGAGTTTGAATCGCGTCCTGGACCTCGGAGGTCGCGTCGCTCAAGTAGCATGCGTAGATGCCGGTAACGCGCCGTCCACGTGGGAAATCACAAAAGACGGAGCATATATACGGGGTCAAACCAGTGCGCAATCTTCTCTAGGAGTTGAAGCAGTCAATTACACGCTAGAATTTGACGTCAAGATCGCCCGAGGCGGCGCTGGCTGGAGAGTAGCAAGTGCAATGCCGCCAATTGGGCCCTACTTTGTGCTTACGTCCGAATACCCCGAGATAAACACGTTCGCAAACACCAACCGAACCCTTTTGCCTCCAAACACGCTGGCATTCACTAGTGGATGGAGTCTAGTAAACCAGAGCACATTACCCGTGCCAGAGGCCCAGTACTTTACTATCAACACAACCATCACGGAGAACACATGGTATCGCGTGCGCACATCAATTGAGCAAACTGGATATCGGGTGAGCGTAAATGGGTCCGAGATTGCGTTCGTACCTCTACCTCCACCTGCACCCCCCGGGAACTTTGGTACTCCATCTCGATACGAAGTACATGGGGCTTCGGAGGCATGCAGGACCAGATCGCGTATTACAAAGACGTAACTGTCACTGCTGGAAACGGCACTACCATGTATCGCAATCCCCTGACGAGCGAAGATACCTTGGCCGAGTATCAGGTCGCACCCTTAGAACACTCAGTCTGTTTGGATGGCGCCAAACGGGATCGGCTAGTCTGGACAGGAGACTTCTACCACACAGTGCGTGTTGTCGCAGCTTCATCTGCTCGATTTGACTACCTCTTGGGCACCATCATATACGCGCTAAGTTTTCAGCTTGATGATGGCCCGTACGCCGGCTTTACCCAAATCTCTACGAATCTTGGAGCCCGCCCCCAGTACAAGGAAGCAAATATCGCAAACTACGCTGGGTTGGTGGACTACCAAGACCTATTCTTGGTGGGAATCGGCCAATACTTCCGCTACACCGGAGACCGCGACGGGCTGAAACCTCACTGGGATCAGATCAAGAAACTTGCGACCGCGAGATTGGCTTTTATTGATCCCTCATCTGGTCTCATTGGAGGTTCTCCGGAGGTGCCATCGCCATTCAGCTTCCTGGGGCCAGCCAACGGTAGTGCAACGACCGGTCTCTTCGCTTACATGCTTGAGGAGATCGCGCCACTTGCGCTTGCGATGGGCGACGAAGAGGCTTCGATAAACTATTCCCAAACGGCAAGCACGTTGCGCGAGGCGCTCAATCGCGAGCTATGGAATGATCAGCTCGGAACATACTCACTCTCAACCACCGATCGAGGCAACTTCTCCTTGACCGGGATCGCCTGGGCAATCCTATCTGGTGCGGCCAACGATACCCAAGCAGCATCTTCCATTGCGAAGCTTGAGGAGCTTCGCTTCGCAGTAGGCTACAAGACCATCTCGAGTGACATGCAGACAGACGACTACCAACTTGCTCCCAATCCATCAGGTTTCCTGTTGGAAGCCCTATTCAAGTCAAGGCGCGACTTCGGAGTGGACAGCACACCCGCCATCAAGCATCTGCTCGACAACCTGTGGGGCAGCATGGTCAACAAGAACGAGTATTACTCTGGCGCGAGCTGGGAATACGTAAAGCCCGATGGTTCTCCTGGCATCGATCTCTTCACTAGCTTAGCGCATCCGTGGGGTGCAGCTCCGACGTATGTACTGCCAGAGTACCTTCTTGGCGTCGCTTCAACCTCTCCCGGGTACGAAACGGTTGTTATCACTCCCATGATAGGGTTCTTGAACCATTCTAAAGTCAGTGGGACGGTGCCAACGCCCAATGGACCAATCAAGGTGGCGTGGACGTTGAGCGGCACGAGCGTTTCTTTCACGGTTGTCATACCGACTGGTACGGCAGCTACACTACAGTTGCCAGCTGGCGCGACTGCGGTCGGCAGGAGCTTGCGCAATGGACAACTTGAGCTTCCTTGTGGAACGATGGAATTGAGAATAGATATGGAGAGCGACTCATAGATAGAAGAAGAGAGATGAAATCATCTACCGCCGCTATCAGTTCTCATGTATGCAATGACAGCCTCTTTCATCCGCGCGAGAGTTTACTACTATACACCTCTAGTCCTTCGGCTTTTTGTACTGACTTCGATCTGGCTCCCCGTTGCTAAACTGCCGGCGCTGGTACATGATCGCTCTCTCGTCGAACTGCAAAATCGTCCACATCTGTTTCTGCACTTTGTCCGCCGACTGCGGAAAATACTCAACTCTTATCTCTTTCCCATCTTCCTCGACAACGCGCGCGACGAAGACGAGATCTTCGTCCTTGGAGAATTCGTTGAGGAAAACAAAGTACAGGTCGCTCACAGGCGTGTTAACCCTGAACTTCTTCTTATCCGTGTCTTCGGTGCGTGGCATCGCCTGCAACCACTTTGCGCAATCTTTGGGCATCTTGCCGAGCCAGAGTAAGACGAAGGAGGATGCGACGGGGGGCTGGGTGCCGGTGTCTGGAGAGGGCTTGTGGACTTCGGGGCATGCGGGTAGGTCTTCATAAGAACCGGTCGCGACCCAGAAGTTCTAGTCTACACCACCGTCGCCATGGTGGGCGCGCTCGAGGACGGAGTTAAGATACTGTAATTGTTACTATCGTGGACATGGTTAATAGATGCAGCGGCGCTAACCTCGTTGGTGATGTTTTTGTCGAGGACAAAGAGCGCGTAGAGAGGGTTAGACATATTGCTTGTGCAAGGCTGTAGTTATTATTTAAAAGTTAGAAAGCTACAAAGTCTGCAGAGTTATTGTTGCAACGAAGTCGCGGCCTTAATAGTCTTACTATTTACTAACGTTACATGCGTTTGCAGGTGCAGGTAGTAAGGCAGAGTAGATGCCTACGCGAGGCCCCCCGCTGCGCAGCTGCGCCGCACCTTATTCTTAACCTATAGCTACACTATAAGCTTAGACAAGAATCTTAAAACTATAAAACGTCTAACGCAGCGAATTAAAGCTGCATTACTAGCATAGTTGTATAGGTATCGCGATCTTTTTTAAGTTACATGTACTTAGCCTTATTGCACATTATTAGCGGCAACGTAGACAGCTCTACAATTACTACCTTGTACACGCTAACTACGCATACTATTACCTAGCTTCTAGCCTTCTAATATTCTACTTTTCTAGATACTAAGATTACCTACGCATGTAGCTATATTGCTCGAAGTAGTTAGGCGTTCTTTGCACTTAGAACATGCTAAGGCTATTTAGCCTATTAGACTTTAACTTATAAGTCTACGCTAATAGATGCCTAGGTGCTATATTAAGTATAAGTACTATAAGAGTATATTTTCTTATAGAGAACGTATTATATAGCCTCTAAGATACAGCTGCTAGAATTAAAGTTATAACTATAATAGTAGAATACGCTAAGATAGATATAGTCTTACATTAGTATAAAAGAGGTTACAACATTCTACTTATATTTCTCTACTACTAGTACATTTCTCTAGCTTAATAGCTCTCTCTATTATTAGTCTTCTTCTTCTACATATTCTAAACGTAGTTTACACTTTTAACTTTCTTCTAAACTTTCTAATACATTACTTATTAAATAAGTCTATTCTATTGCCTAATATATATTATATTATAGCTATTTCTCTATTACTCTAGGCTTTAATAGGCTTAGAGCAAAGTAACAACATACCTAATATAGTAGTACCTAGAAGAGTAGATAGAATATTTATAAAGCGCGCTAGAATAGATTTTAGTAAATAAACTATAAATTATAAGAGTAGAGAGAGTACTTATAATAATACTTATTACTACATTAATTACGTAGTTAGTGTTTGCTAGCTTACTCTCTTTAAACTTAAACTAATTTATATCTATAGTAGGCTCTAGCTACTAGTATCTAGAATCTAAGTAGAATTATATATATTAGGCCTACTAAAAGTAACAAGTTAGAGAAAGTACACAACTAATAGGTATCTAGGTACTCTACTAGAGGTAAAAGCTCTTGTAGTAAGTTCTCTTTTAGCTAGAAGTTTAGCGATAAGATAGTAGGTCTAGATAAATATAATTATAATAAATAGCTACCTGCAATATCTTAGTAGTTACTATTTAGTAATCTAAACTAACTAGCGCTAAATAGTCTACGCTACATAGTAGCTAATAAGAATTAAAATATTAGTTATAAGCTAGATTGCATTATAATAAGCAATAGTATAGTCTATAATAACTTCTTTAACATAAACTTTAATATTACTAGTACTAATTAGAGTAAACTTATATTCTATTAGCTAAACCTAAACCTAAGAGGTGTCTATAGTTCTAATAGCCTATAATTTAAGCTTATAGAGAAGACGTTTGCTTCTAGTAAGCTTAGTAGTTACTATAACTATAATAGCGATAATAATAAGTATATATTAACTAATACTACCTATATAGAGCTATACTAATATAGCGTTAAATTTACTTATAATAGTAATATAATAATTAAGAACATTAAGCTTAGTAACTAGAAGAATAAGAAATTAACGCTAGCTTAGTGTAACTTACCTAATAATAACAACTTATATAATCTATAGAGTCTTTCTAATAATCTATAAGTAAAGCGCACTAGTAACTTTAGTACTAAGCTAGAATTTAAGTACTTACTAGTCTAAAAGAGTATTAACTACTTTAATTAGAACTTAGATATAAAGAGTAATAGTTATAGTCTATAGACTAGAAATAATAATATAGATCTAACTACGTAACTCTTACACTTCTATAAAGTTATTAATAGTAGTGCACTAAATATATAGAGCTTTAACTACTAGTTTTCTTACTATAAGAATATAGATAGTAAACTCTAGATATTTTAGTAGAACTATATAGCAAGGTAATAGATAGTTCTTAGATAGAATTTGCGTAGTAGTAGAAGCGTTTTAGAGTATTATTTAGTATTATATTTATTAAGAGTATATATTTAGATAATTATTTTATAATATATAGACTATATAAAAAACTATATATCTAAGTTTATAAAAGTATCTAAGTAAATACTAACGCGCTAATATATAACGCTATTAGTAGCTTTCTTATAGTAAAACATACTACCTCTTAACACTCTTCTACTTCTATATCTATATAAGAATATTACGCCTTAATACTATACTACTATACCTTTTTTAATATTTACTATATACTCTAGTATAGTAGAGTTACACGCTATAACGTCTAACTAAGAAGCGTATCTACTAAACTATTAAGCTTAGTATAGTTTATAGCCTTTATTATTAAGTCTCTATTTACTACTATACATGCGCCTAGTAGTGTAAGTGCTTAGACTATAGTACTTTTATAATATAAAGAATCTAGAAAAGAGTATAAATAGGCGTAAGAGGCTTAATAAGTATATTATATATATAGTTAACTTACGTAACGTAAATAGAATATTAAGAGCTTATATAATAATAGTAGTAACTAGGTATAGAGTAAGAGACTAAGTGTATAAGTAAAGAATAGTATATAAAGCGTTAGAATAATATAAAGAAAATAAAAGTAGTATTTAGATATATATATATTAATATGCGTTAAAGAGCTTCTAGAGTATAGCGTATATAGATAGAGTAGAGACTACTCTTAACTAGAAGATAAGCTTAGTATTACTAGAACGTATAGAGATCTACTTATATAGTGTTATAATAGCCTTCTAGAACTTTAATAGCTTCTACTACTTATACTACTACCTATATCTTTACTATCTTTATAACTCTTTTATATCTCTAACTAAAGACTTTCTACCTAAAAGAATATCTTAGAGCTACTAGGTCTAAGTAATTTTTAGTAGAGGTAATAAGTACTAATAAGAAATTAAGAGTAGCTTTAAAGTAGTAGCTTTAAAGCTTTTAAACTTTACTATTTAAAAGTTTAGATAAAATTTAAGTAGACTATTTTATATAAAATAACTATATAAATTTAATACTTTACTTAGCTTATTAATAGCTACTTATATTATAAAGTTATAAAGTAGAAAAGTTTAAAGCTAAATTTTAAAGTTTTTTATATAATTTATTATATCTAGAAGTATAAAAATAAATAAAAAATAAATTATTATATTATAAGCTTACTTAGAAAGCTTTTTTAAGTAGTAAAGCTTCTAAAAGCTTATTATAATCTATACTAGTATAATTATATATAATACTTTATAAAAGTATCTAAAAATATATTTTATAATATACTCTCTAAGTAGTTTATTATTAAGTAGAAATCTAAATCTTAAGTAGTAATAGTTATAGCTTAAAAAGTTACTAATTCTAAAGAAGTAAAAACTATTACTAGTACTCTAAAGAATATATATTTAAATCTTTTATCTACTTTTAGAAATATAGTATTAAGTAAGCTAAAACTTAGAGCTTTAGCGCTACTACTTTTAAAATAGTTAAAGCTTTTAAATCTTTTAAGTTTATAAAATAACTATTTTATAAATACTATAAGAATATAGTTTTTATAAATTTTAAAAAGTTTACTTAAAGCTATTTTCTTACTCTAACTTTAAATATTTCTATTTCTAAAGCTACTAGACTTTACTAAAGCTACTAGACTCTACTAAAGCTACTAAACTTTACTAAAGCTACTAAATTCTTTAAAAAAGATATTTACTACTATTAAAGTTAGAGAGTAGTTATAATTATATAATCTTAGATATATAATTACTTAGCTCTTAGATATATAGCTAGAGATTTTATTTTAACTTTCTTTAGTAGTATAATAATTAGAATATACTTAAATATCTCTAATTATTAATTATCTTTAGTTCTAATAGTTATAAGTCTAGCTACTTAATTATAAAACTAATTTCTACTATATATTAAAGCTTACTAAAAGATAGATTAATTAATCTTTTTCTATTTTACTCTTTTTAATATTTTATAATAAAAACTCTTTTATAATTATAATTATCTTTCTATTTATATTTATATTTATTTTAGTATAATTCTATATATTAACTAACTTAATTCTATACTCTAACTCTATAGATATAA